TACCACCAGTTCCCTGTCTAATGATCAACGCTCCGTGTTACCTGATCATATTGTTCTGCCCATTCGTCGAACAGTCGGATGACTTCGTTGAGCGAAGATTCATTTGTAAATAGCCAGAGTTGATCATGATAGTACTTGAAAATCTAAAGATAAGATGATAACAATTTTCATGAGGTAGGCTGTGAGGGTCATCTCTTTTCGCCCTATGGGGTCTCACTATATTCGTAACGTATTTTACAACTGTAGTTGTAATGTATTTACAAAACTGTAAACTAGTAAAATTAGTGTACAGACTAGAATGACCACAGGGGCTTACAAAGCTCTCTCTTGGTTTCTGACCTCCTCAATGTAAACAGATGTTGGTCGTCATGAAAAGCCTTCTCAGTCCTTACTAACATGATACGATTCTAATCATGCCATGTTACACAGGTGAGGGTAGCTGGCGGGATTTTGCGCGCTGAATTCAAACGGCAAGTCCCCCAATTTGAATACGAGCGGAGCAGCTGCGGAGAAGTAGCAAGAACTGGGTGGCTCAGAGAAGTGACCGAGGGACTTTCTTTCTTAGATTGCGGAAAATGGCCCTATCTCTTAGGGAAATGTCAGGGAGTGGGGCTTTGCCATTATAGCTTTACGGTGAAACTGAAATGCCATGTATTCTTCTGTTCCACTTGTATTATACTCTATGGTGAAATACACATGGACAATTGTACCACTCCACTTGTTTAATTTTGGAATGTTAAGAACCCAGAGATTCACAGAAAACAGTCCAAAAGGAACACGGTCACCTCTCAAACGGGAAAAAAAAATTAACTTCCTATAGGCAGTTGGGAAAAAAGAAAAAAACTCCCACAAGTGATCAAGACAGAATTTCTCCTTTCAATATCAATACAATATCAAGCAGAAAAGTGACGAGAAGAAAGTTAAACAACAATTTGGGGATTAAAAGTTGATCCAACACCAAATTCTCAGAACTAACATTATAAGAATTGTATGACAGATAGTAAAGAGAATTACTTATGAAAATTTGAAAGTGAAAGGTTTAACAAGAGACATAAAACTGAATATTCTCATTTGAGTGGTTGTCATCACCAACAATGCAAGATTCTAAATTAACCCTTTAACTCCCAAAAGTGATTAACATGAAAATTCTCCCTATATTATCCATACATTATTCAGCAAACAGGAAATGAGAATATACAAACTTTTCAGGTTAAAGCTGCTATTTTGATCAAACACCAAGTTCTCATAACTAATTTACAAGGAAATGTGTAGGGGCGAGGTTTAACAATCAGATCTTGGAAAGAGTATCAGGTTTAGAAATGTGTTAGTGTCAACGGCTAAGTGATTTTATGATCTGCCAATGAGAGGAAAAGGTATTCTTGAGGAATTCGGTGAATATCATTCCTGACTACCGGGCATTCAGGGACCGGTTGGTTACGTCTAGATAAAATTAACCAATTCACCCCTCTCCCCCACCCCCTCCCCCACCTTATAGG